ATGAAAGGTCAAAAGCCGAGTTAAAAATGAGGAAAGGCCTCCCTCTTTCCTCTCTTCATTCCCATAGCGCTCCCCTTCCTCCCCCCACCTCCGCCATTTCCTCTTCCAGGAGGATCCTAGCTCCTGAACCTTTAGACCTATCAGGGCAAACATATGGGAGCCTCAAATACTCTCCTGAGTGTGGGGAACAAGCAGGAAGGGAGCCAGCCCGAAGTGTAGCCTTTCCCAGGAGGGGGTCTTACTTCCTAAAAGGCGAGTTATGCTTCTTCTGATCAGCAAATAGGAAGGTCAACCAAAGGATGCTCAGACCTTTCTCGAAACTCCCTAGAAGCCCAGGTGAGGATAACTCCATCCTCAGCCAGAGTATGCTAGACAGTTCAGGAAAGCCAGTTGCTCAGGGCTAGGAGCGCCCTGGCCACCACCCTTGTCAAGTGGAGATGCGTGGGGAAAGGAGCATCAGACCAAAAGAGAGGGTAGATTCAGCAGCACACAGAAGCGGCAGCAAATACTTTCATTAGGCAGAGTAGAGTCTTAGTTTGCACATCTGCTAACTCTCTTCTCGGCACTATTTTGTTAAGTAAGAGTGCCCCTTGGTCAGATGCTGCTGGGTTCACATTGGCCCATGCATGACCAAATGCCACCAACTGAATGTTACTTGCGGGCTGCCGGTAGAGAACACGGTTAACAACCCATGGCCCCTAAATGGACGGGAAACTGCTCATAGCTGTACACACACATAGCTGTATGGGAGCTTACTCAATGTATTTCTCCTTCTCTTACCTTGTGTGTTGTCCTCTGGCTGAACTCTGCAACTTGGAAAGCTCATTTAGAATGGATACATTCATTCAGCAAATATTCATCACATGGACACCTCTATCTGGTTTTCTGCTAGAGAAACGTAAAACAAAATCTGGTCCTGGAGGAGATCACAGGCTGGTAGGGTTTAAGTCAGCTGGCATTTGCTTCCCTTAGCCTAGGCTGGCCTTTCCCACAGAGTGGTCCATGACCACCTCCACTAGAAATACAGACTTCTGGGCCTCACCCCAGAACTACTGAAACAGACCTGCATCTTTAACTAGGTCTTCAAGTAATTCTTTAGCAAGGACTATCAAGCAAGCCTGTCTATTAAAAGTATTTCTTAAGTTATTTGCCTTCACTTGTTGCCAGTAGTCATGAAGAAATACACATAGCCACATGCATAGGATTAGTCATGATCATTAAAGATGGTTTTAACAGTCTTAACAGCTCTTTGCAGGATTCAATTGGTGAATGGATTTTTTTAAAAACTCAGGTGAGGATTCATTGTCCTCGTCCTTCCATAAGCTGGAGGGACATATCTGACTGACCATGGTCATCTGTAAAATATCTCAAAGAGGCTGTCAAGAGATTGGCCAGCTCAGCCCCTCTGGTGAGGAGGTGGGGATGAGAGCTCTGGGAGAGGGTCCTGACCTCCAGATCCCCTGCCAGGGTCCCAGGGTACCACCTTGCTTTCCTTATTCTCCCGTCTCCCAGCTGTGGTGGGGATTGTTCTAATTAACAAACTCTGCACTTTAATTGTGATCCTTTTACTTAAGAAAGTTCTCGAAAACCAAGCCGATTCTTTGTTCCTCCTTCCTCATGAAGTGTGTGTCCTCCCTCCCTTCCCCTGCCACCCTTGCCACCCTCCCCCAGACCCCATCCCGCATGCTGGTGGCAGCTGGAGCCTATGGGGCGCACTGCCCAGGGTACACGGGCTTCTCACCAGTCTTCTCAGCTTGGGGAGATCCCATTTTCCCTGAGGTTGGACGTTGTAGGGTGTGAGGAAACATGACATGTTGATGTCTGCTTTCAGCAGGAGACATAGTGTGGGTGTTTCGTCTGAATGATAAAACCGACGTAGGGGAATGTGGGAACCCAGCAGGCAAGCTGTTGGGTCTCATCATGGTGCTGGGCCCAAACGGCCAGCATGTAAGCATTTCCTCTGCATCCCTGTGGCCATCCCAAGTCGGCCTTTCTCAGGAGATCTAATACTTTCTAATCAGAGTATATGTCTCCCAGAGACAAGACTTTCTGCTGTGTTTGTTTTGAAGGCTAGAGATGTTGTGGAAAGAAAAATAAAAATTCATCTAAGAGCATTGCAGCAGTTGACATTATCAGAAAAATCTGTGGGCGTCGGAAATATTTCCAAGTTGAATATCTATTTCAAGCCTGTGTGTACAAAAAAAAAAATAAACCCTAAAAAACTCCAGGGTAGCAGAAGATGTGGAGAGATCCTTCAAATCCATTGTAATAAGATGATATATAAGAATTTAAGGAAAGTTCATCTTTGCAAATCTTAAAACATGGGAAGCCAGGCTCGGTGGTTCAGCCTGTAATCCCGCACCTTTGGGAGGCTGAGGTGAGTGGATTGCCTGAGCCCGCGGGTTCGAGACCCACCTGGGCAGCGAGACCTCATCTCTACAATAAATCAAAAAATCAGCCGGGCATGGTAGCACATGCCTGTAATTCCGGCTACTTGGAAGGCTGAGGTGGAAGGATCGCCGGAGCCCAGCAGGTCGAGACTGCGGTGGCCGGGAGTGGCCACTGCACTCCAGTCTGGGCGACAGAGTGAGACTCCAACTCAAAAAAAAAAACAAAAGTGGGAAATCAGAAATCTGATATAGTGTCCCCATACTGTCAATCTGGCAGGCTTGAAACCCATCATGTAACTGAGGCCACCAGAGGCAGGAGTCTGGGACACTGAGGGGCCATCATGGGCCTCTATTTCCTCATCTGCAAAATGAAGAGGGGCTCGGCTCCTTTCGGACTCAGAAATTCTGTGATTTGCCCAGTGCCTTTATCTGTTATACACTTGACTTTCGCAGAATGAATTTGCAGAAAAGCTCTTAATCTCAAGGTTACACACACACACACACACACACACACACAGACACACACACACACACACTATAGGGGTCTCATTCTGTTGCTCGGGCTGATCTTGAAATCCTGGCCTCAAGCAGTCTTCCTGCCTCAGCCACCCAGTGCTGGGATTACAGATGTGAATCTCCTCAACCTATTTTTGGGTCGTAAGCTCTGGAAGAGAGTTCTATGACCCACTCTTTTGATTTTGATATATATATTAGAGCCTAATGTAATTTATTTGGGGCCTGGGTATAAGAGTACCTATTATGCCAGAGTATCTTTTGGTGAGTCATTTCTGTATTTCAATAAGCAGATTCCATTTTAAATACTCTTAGAGCAGGACTTGATCAGAAATAGGAAAGAACACACAGGTTCTGGCTTAGAAATTCTGAAATGCTGCCATTGTTCCTCAGATCCACTAGATGTGAATTGAAATTTTATTTCGATAATGTAGATTATTTTAAAAATGAGATTGACATCTCTTATGGGTCAAACTATGGTCATTAAAAATAGGGATTTAGAGAAGAATTGTGCCCATCCTGTTTGATGTTTCCTAAGGGACCATTAACAAACTGACTTTGAACCTCTGGCATGAAGTCCTTCCTCACTGATGCCCTAAGGGGCAGCCGAGGCTAATAGAAATACTTCATTTTAGAGTCATTTTTAGTTTCAGATTCCAGTTTAGAGTCTTCATGCTGCCACATGACCTTAGACCCAATATTCCTCGTCCCTGGGCATGAGTGTTTTCTCACTGCAAAGATAACTTTAATGTAGGGGTTTTTTTAAATTGTTTTTAAATTTGTATTTATTTAGGTGAGAACTGAAGTCTGTGTACGTAGGTAAACCTAACAAAATACTTAGCACATAGTAGGCACTCTTAAAGATGTATTGCTGTTGCACAACATTGCAAATGTACTGAATGCCACTGAATTGTACACTTAAAATTGGGTAAAAAGGTAAAGTTTATGTGATGTCTATTTACCACACATCAAAAAGCATTGCTTTGCCTAATCACCATTTCTCAGTGCCTGAAGGTTCCAGCCACATCTTCAACATTCTGCGACCTATGAGGGCAGCTTAACCAAATTGATGTAGAGTCATGGACTGTCATCCCAGGGGACTCTGGAGGACTCATCTGAGTTCCCCAAAGCTTCCCTTTGACTTTCCGGGTGGTTTTGGCTGCCAGGGATGTGATGGTGATAAATGTAGACCAAAACCCTAATGGCGAGTGTCCAGGTGACAGAACAAGTTCCACTTTGATGTCACATTTGCCTTGATGTATTTTCCACTACAGAAATGCAAATGCTATTTTGCTGTGATTTTTACTCAAGAAAAGTAAGACTTTTCAGAACCGATAGTCATTCTTCCTTTTTTCCACCCTCCCCCCCCCCCC